TCAACAACAATAGCATTTAATTTGGCTATGAAATAAATTTAAGGCAGTGAATTTATGTTGCCAAACACAGGCCTTTTATTCTAAATTATGCTTTTGAAGTCTTAATTTTTATTTGTATCTTGGTGAGTTGGAATTGACCTGTAATATTTTAGTGAAAGTCGATGAGTAATGTATTTTCAGAGCATTTGAATATGTGAGACTGGTTTTCATACTCCTTCACAAAAGACCGGCAGTTTGTCTGACAGTAACTTTCTTTGACTGAGTCCTCTCTTTTGTAGTTTAGTAATACAGAGGAGAAATTGAGCACCAACTGAGCATTTGTTCCTTTGATGGTGACTTCTTTTCACGTGATACGTGTGTTGTTTTTTCTTTTGTGCCTGTATACTGATTTTTTTTAATTGTAAACTCTAAGATTCAAATGTTTTGTCATAACGTGTCTTTGAATGGGTATTGCTTGGAATACAGTTTAGTCCTCTCTTTTTACGGATGTTTTTTTCTTCAACTATGTCTTTGATTATCATTTCTATGTTAGCCTCTGCTCGTATTTTCTCAGAAACAACTATAGACTTAGTTTTTCTGGTCCTCCAAGTCTTATGATCTGCTTTCTATTGGTTCTTTTCTCTGGTCTTATGTGGGGTTTGGGGTTTATCTTCTTTGTCAGCGACTTAATTTTACATAGTGTGTGTCTACATTTTTTCTCCGTCCCTCCATGTGGGCAATAGTCTTGTTACTTGACTTTTAGAATCCTTTTATTGCTAATGCTTCATTATTTCTTTTTATCTTATAATCTCTTTTTATCTTACCTAATAGTCTTTTATTGACTTACAGTTTTCTATTTCTGTTTTTAAGGGATATATCTTCTTATATTAACAATGCCAAATACTTTTCTAAAAATTACATCTAATTCCTTCCTCTAAAGAGTCATTTTTAGGCAAAAGTTCTTCTTTTCAATCTTTAGCATGCTCTTTTCCTTCCATATTTATGTGATGTTTCTTAGTAGACTATTGTTGACATTTAGCAGTTATTTTCATTCCTGAATTTGGAAATATCCATCTGGACCTGCTCACAGAGAGGGCGTGTGGATTGCCCTTGGACTCACTCTCTATCTTCTTGGTTGCTTGTAAAAGTTCTCTATTAGATCTCAGACCTTATAGAAGATTGATGTTTATAGGCCCTTTTCAGCAGACTAGGAAAGTTTCATATAAAGCAGCTATCTCCAATACCTTGTTCTCTGTCACTCCATGTATATGGGTTACATAAGAACTCCAGCCCCCAGAAGGCAACACTACCATAGATCATCTTGTCCCTATATCTGCTTTTCTGCAGCTGAAACTGCCAGGGTATTAAGGAGAGTTGAACTTTGAAAAGTTGGATTTGAACTGCTCCAGTTCACTTACATGTGTATTTTTTTCAATAAATCATTGGAAAATATTTTGGAGATTTACAACAATTTGTTAAAACATTTTCTTGTCTCTTATTTATTTTATTGTGAGAATACAGCATATAATACATATGCAAAATATGTGTTCATTGACAGTTTGTGTTATCAGAAAGACTTTTGGTCAACAGTAGAGTCTTAGTGGTTAGGTTCTGGGGGAGTCAGAAGTTCTCAGATTTTCAGCTGTGCGGTAGGTCAGTGCCCCTGACAATCACACTGTTCAAGGGTCAACTGTACTTACCTTCCTTTCTACTCATCTTTTTAAAGTAGCAGTCACTAACTGATGGGGCAGGGGGATGTTTCTGGGGTCTCCAGAAAACATCATTCATGACAGAGAGCTCTCTAGGTTTGGGCTGGTATCTGGCTGATACGGATTTTGTATTTCTGTACAAGATGGCAAAAAAGTGGGGAAAAGAAGATAAGGTTTCCCACTTCCTTCAAGACCCGTAGCTCGTTTTTTAAAATGGATTTTCTCTTCCTTCTGCTATAAAATTCTCTGATTCTTGCAATAGGTTGAGGCCATTTCTTCCTCCTTGTGGTTGCAAGCGCCTCAGTTTCTTTTTATGGATATTTTAGTGGGAGGGTGGGAGAGACTGTGTCGGGCTGGTAGCTAGACACCATTTAAAACCATAACTTATATGAAACTACACAAATAAAAAAAGAACTTTCTGAATGTGACAAAATTCTTGAAACTTTTGCTTCCTGTATGTTTTTGGTGGAAATAAACTCTGCCTCTTACATATTCATTACAAGTTGTTATTCAAATGATGGAGACATTGGTGTTCTTGTTATAGAACCTCTATCTTATGAAAATGGGTCATTTTAGTGATGAAATAAAATGTAGATACATAAGTAGATTGTAGGAATTCCAGTGACTTCCATAAATTTTTTAATATATGTAAAAGCTTCCTGATCACTGTCTATTAGCGGAAGAGTTTAACAGCTGAGACAGCTATTATAAATCATTCCGTTTCTAGAAATTACAAATTTAATTCCCTTCAGGGGCCAGAAAAGTGACCTGCAAATGCATGAAGTAGGTTACTTTAATAAAGTAGGGAGTGGGAGGGACTAGACAGAAGTGGAGCTTACTTGTGCTACCAAATCCTTGAGCCAGCAGTGTAATATCAAAACAGTATAGTATTAAAAGCAGTATAATATAAATCCACTTTCCCATTATAGAGACGGAACTGAGGTCAAAGGCTATTAATAGATTTGCCCATAATTAGGAGAATCTATGTATTTTTTAATTGAAGTATCATTGATATACAATCTTACATTGGTTTCAAATATATACAGCAGAGTGGTTCAATAGTTCCCCATATTATTAAACCCTTAGCCCCACTAGTGCAGTTACTATCTGTCAACACAGGAAGATGTTGCAGAATCACTGGCTATAGAATCTATGTGTTTTAACCAGAACCAGCTGTGTAATTCATAGGACCCTGTGTAAAATAAAATAAGGAGCCTCTTGTTCAACAATAAAGAATTTCAAGATATTGACAGCAAAGCATTAAACCAACCATGGGACCCTATGTGACTGCTCAAGTTACATGCTTTGGTCTTAACTTCTGATTTAGAATTTATACATCTAAACAGGAAGAAACATGGAGAAACTTTTACCCACAACCACCAAAAAATTGATAATGGTCAAGGGTGTTAACATTACGTCCTTGACTTTGATACTCCAGTAAGCGAACCACCTTTACGTGCAAGAGGGCTTTTGTATGAGGTTTTAAGAATTGTTATTTTCTACATTGTGTGGAAGTTTTTGTTGAAGCGTTTCTTACTGCTTCCATTGTTTTTTATTGTTCCTTCCTGAATCCAAGTTTTATGAATTACTAGTTAAAGATTTTCAACCCTGAAGTTCAAAGATCGTCTCCAAATGTTAGTTCTGAATTGAATGCCGGAGTGTTTGAAGAATCAGTCAGCCCAGGAATGAAACTCAGAGGGACACTTTTGTCTGTTTGGGGGTTATCTCTCAGGGGCCCCTACCATTATCCTTTCCTCTCACCTGGAGATAACTATCATTTCTTTTAGGAAATCTTGCCTTTAATTTGAACCATCTCCTAAAATAACCTTTTTTAAAAACTTTATTTGAAATTTTTACATGGTTTGCAAACTCAAAAAGCAATTCATCTCCTGACAGATTGAAGTTGACTAGCTCACCCTGCCCTTTGTGTTCACCGATGACTTGTAACCCGTGATACCACTAATAATATAACTTTAGGAAGGCTGTTTAGTGAAATCTGACCAGCTTTTAAAGGCATAGTTCCACACACTCAGAAAATATAAGAAATAAAATTGAGAATTGAGCACTAGGGTAAGGGTTTTTCTTGTAGTAATATATATATATGCCTTTATGCTTATATGAAGTCTCATATACTTTTTTCAAAATTGCAGATGCTTCATCACTAAATATTTCAGTATAAATCCCATAAGAACAAGGACATTCTCCTACATAGACCATAATACAATCTCCTCAGTCAATAAATTTAACATTTATGTAACATTAAAGTCTAATTTAGGGTTCATATTCAGTATGAACTTGTCCCAATAATTTTTGACATTATAAAAAATACCTCCTAATCTATCATCTATTTATTAACATAATCTATGAAGACCATTTAACAAAATCTTTACTCTTGATGTCATCATGATATCAGTTGAGATATCATGCATTACTTTTTCTCCCTAAAGAGAGAGGTTTTGAAGGTCTTATTTATGGAGATCTTTATTTGGCTATCCCCACATTGCACAGGTATCTTTCAACAATTTTTCCCATTAGCTTTATAGTTACACCTTTCAAATTTAGGTCTTACATCTAGGTGAGAATCTAAGTGATGTTCACCTTTGTGTAGGGTAAGAAGTAGGTCTTCAACGTTTTTGTTTTCACAACCATCACTCCTATAGAAAGTCTTATATTTTAAAAGACTTAAACACTGAATTATTTAAAATCGAAAGAACTAAATTTTTTTCCTCATTATAAAGTGAGCGTGTAACAGCTGAACATACAACTTGGAGTGATAAAGGTTGTCATTAGCAGTTGTACATCAGATGGATGATTTAGATTCCAAATGGATTCTATTAGCAATATCCATAAAGATGTCAATATGTATCTGTTAAAAGAAAGAAAAAGTCTTACCTGATTTAAAAATATTAAGGCTTTTATTTTTAAAGCAAATATGAACTTCAGGTAAGTCAAGTTGTTTACTTGGTATCTGAGTCAAAGAATTGAAAACTGCATTATATACCTTCATATTGTGGAAATATATCCCTTCATGAGTGATTAATGAGAGGAAATTCCCATGTTGTAAAAAGAGAAGATGAGCAAATGGATAAATACAGTAACTGAATGAAATAAAATTTGTTACAAATATTTAAAATATTTGCCGTCAGCCATGCCCCTGAGTACGTGTCCAGTCAGCCAGTACTGAAATTGCTCATCAATCCTTGGTTGGGGCAAGGGTGTGGGGGGCAAATTTAATGACTTTTTTTTGCTCTTCAGGATGTGCTGTGAAATATATAAGCCGAATGTCATAGAATATTTTTTAACCTTTTACAGGTGGAAATTTTCATTTTCCCTCTATATATTTACCTATGGAGTCCGGTTCCTAAAAAAGGTAGGATCTTTCAAGTTCTTTGATGTAATTCTTATGTAACTGTAAGCCTAGACCTCATTTTTTATGTGTGACACCAGTAATATCTTAAAGTCATAACAGACTTCCTAAGAATTATTTGTATATTTTTCTTTGACTTACAATAATATTTGCAGTTTTTCAATAGTTCCCCATATTATTAAACCCTTAGCCCCACTAGTGCAGTTACTATCTGTCAACACAGGAAGATGTTGCAGAATCACTGGCTATAGAATCTATGTGTTTTAACCAGAACCAGCTGTGTAATTCATAGGACCCTGTGTAAAATAAAATAAGGAGCCTCTTGTTCAACAATAAAGAATTTCAAGATATTGACAGCAAAGCATTAAACCAACCATGGGACCCTATGTGACTGCTCAAGTTACATGCTTTGGTCTTAACTTCTGATTTAGAGTTTATACATCTAAACAGAAAGAAACTTTTACCCACAACCACCAAAAAATTGATAATGGTCAAGGGTGTTAGCATTACGTCCTTGACTTTGATACTCCAGTAAGCGAACCACCTTTACGTGCAAGAGGGCTTTTGTATGTTTTAAGAATTGTCATTTTCTACATTGTGTGGAAGTTTTTGTTGAAGCGTTTCTTACTGCTTCCATTGTTTTTTATTGTTCCTTCCTGAATCCAAGTTTTATGAATTACTAGTTGAAGATTTTCAACCCTGAAGTTCAAAGATCGTCTCCAAATGTTAGTTCTGAATTGAATGCCAGAGTTTTAGAAGAATCAGTCAGCCCAGGAATGAAACTCAGAGGGACACTTTTGTCTGTTTGGGGGTTATCTCTCAGGGGCCCCTACCATTATCCTTTCCTCTCACCTCGAGATAGCTATCATTTCTTTTAGGAAATCTTGCCTTTAATTTGAACCATCTCCTAGAATAACCTTTTTTAAAAATTTTATTTGAAATTTTTACATGGTTTGCAAACTCAAAAAGCAATTCATCTCCTGACAGATTGAAGTTGAGTAGCTCACCCTGCCCTTTGTGTTCACCGATGACTTGTAACCCGTGATACCACTAATAATATAACTTTAGGAAGGCTATTTAGTGAAATCTGACCAGCTTTTAAAGGCATAGTTCCACACACTCAGAAAATATAAGAAATAAAATGGAGAATTGAGCACTAGGGTAAGAGTTTTTCTTGTAGTAATATATATATATATATATATATATATCTCCAGTAAGCGAACTCCAGTAAGGCATATATATATGCCTTTATGCTCATATGAAGTCTCATATACTTTTTTCAAAATTGCAGATGCTTCATGACTAAATATTTCAGTATAAATCCCATAAGAACAAGGACATTCTCCTACATAGACCATAATACAATCTCCTCAGTCAATAAATTTAACATTTATGTAACATTAAAGTCTAATTTAGGGTTCATATTCAGTATGAACTTGTCCCAATAATTTTTGACATTATAAAAAATACCTCCTAATCTATCATCTATTTATTAACATAATCTATGAAGACCATTTAACAAAATCTTTACTTTTGATGTCATCATGATATCAGTTGAGATATCATGCATTACTTTTTCTCCCTAAAGAGAGAGGTTTTGAAGGTCTTATTTATGGAGATCTTTATTTGGCTATCCCCACATTGCACAGGTATCTTTCAACAATTTTTCCCATTAGCTTTATAGTTACACCTTTCAAATTTAGGTCTTACATCTAGGTGAGAATCTAAGTGATGTTCACCTTTGTGTAGGGTCAGAAGTAGGTCTTCAACGTTTTTGTTTTCACAACCATCACTCCTATAGAAAGTCTTATATTTTAAAAGACTTAAACACTGAATTATTTAAAATCGAAAGAACTAAATTTTTTTCCTCATTATAAAGTGAGCGTGTAACAGCTGAACATACAACTTGGAGTGATAAAGGTTGTCATTAGCAGTTGTACATCAGATGGATGATTTAGATTCCAAATGGATTCTATTAGCAATATCCATAAAGATGTCAATATGTATCTGTTAAAAGAAAGAAAAAGTCTTACCTGATTTAAAAATATTAAGGCTTTTATTTTTAAAGAAAATATGAACTTCAGGTAAGTCAAGTTGTTTACTTGGTATCTGAGTCAAAGAATTGAAAACTGCATTATATACCTTCATATTGTGGAAATATATCCCTTCATGAGTGATTAATGAGAGGAAATTCCCATGTTGTAAAAAGAGAAGATGAGCAAATGGATAAATACAGTAACTGAATGAAATAAAATTTGTTACAAATATTTAAAATATTTGCCGTCAGCCATGCCCCTGAGTACGTGTCCAGTCAGCCAGTACTGAAATTGCTCATCAATCCTTGGTTGGGGCAAGGGTGTGGGGGGCAAATTTAATGACTTTTTTTTGCTCTTCAGGATATGCTGTGAAATATATAAGCCGAATATCATAGAATATTTTTTAACCTTTTACAGGTGGAAATTTTCATTTTCCCTCTATATATTTACCTATGGAGTCCGGTTCCTAAAAAAGGTAGGATCTTTCAAGTTCTTTGATGTAATTCTTATGTAACTGTAAGCCTAGACCTCATTTTTTATGTGTGACACCAGTAATATCTTAAAGTCATAACAGACTTCCTAAGAATTATTTGTATATTTTTCTTTGACTTACAATAATATTTGCAGTTTATAGCAAATAATTTTAAGCATATACCGAAAATACCTCTGGCAATAATTTGTTTTTCCAGTGAAGGATATTGCTAAACCCTCTGACCACTATCGTTGATTATTACTTAAGGGCATTAGAAGCTTATAAAGTCCATAAGACACTTGGAAAGAAGTTTGAGTTTCCATATCACACAACTTGAGAAAAGCCAGTTCCCACGTGTGTTCTCACTGTAGTCTCCATAGTATCTTGCATAGTTATTAACAGGCTCGTACCCACTGCTGGTGGAAAATTCAGTTTCTCTTACAGATTGTTTCTCCTGCTGTTGTTTGGTTATTCCTGCATGAGTAGAGGCACCTTCTTCTTTGAAAGCAATTCTTCGAGACTGCCATAGCGGTTTTCGTGGTTCTTTCAGTGCTTAATGGTACACCTAACAAATTAGGCTGCTTCTATTCAACTGTTATGAAGACTTACCTTCTCCCAGTCTGCACACACTAACAATAGTGATTTGGAAAAGCTGGAAGTTATTTTTTTTTTAATTTTATACTATGAACATTTAAATTGATATCAAATTTATCTTTATTTAGTACAAAAATTTTTCCCAAAAAGGGCATTGTGCCAGCATGCCTAACTAGTACATTTTCATGTAAATATTGGTGTGAAAATTGCAGAGACGTTTTTATTTTTGAAGTCTGAGTTATGTCTGACTGTGGAAAATTCTATTACAAATAGAAATGTTTCCCCATTTCATATTTTCATAGAGGAAATATACTTTTTACTTCTTGTCTTTTCCTTTAGTAGCTACAATTATTTTTCACTTAATAAGACTTACATGGTCTAGAAGACATTTGAATAGATTTAAAAAGGATAGAATTCATTCTGTAGGCTAAATATGAAGACATTCTCAATGGAGGCAAATAAATCTGGTAGAGATTGCTTATTTTGAACCCTGCTTTTCTAGTTTTCAAATGGAAAAAATCGAAAGAGCAGCTGTAGAGCCCTTGTGCTTCCAGCTTTACTGCCTTGGGAGAGGAAATAGCTCTGGGTGGAATCTCAGCCAACCTAGGAGAACTGAACTTCACAGAATGTCAAGTTGCTGACTGGGGTCAAGGTTTGGAATTCATGTCAGGTTCTGTAGGTGAAGGGCTCTGATGGCGAGCAGGGAAACATGGTGAGAGCCAGGAGCCCTGTTTGGTCCCTTCCCTGAGATCTGCATGGTACCGGCTCTCTAAGCCGTCAAGGAGTGAGCTTGGCCATCTGTCCTCAGAGCAGGAAACACGGCACTTAGCTCACGCGCTCTGTCCCTAAACAAATTGAATGGGGCAAGAATAGTTTTATCCCCCAGTCCTCAGTGGCTCTGTAGGAGCCAGGAAGAGGGCCTGCCCATAGGATGTTCACTTGGAAATTGCTTTGTCTTAAACTCTACCAGTTCGTGTTTGGACTGCCCAGTTACAACAAATGCTTTAAGAAAGGAAAAAAGGACTAGATGTTGTTCTTGTGAAATTGTGTTTGGGGTTTCTTCCTTTAAAACTGTCTAAGAAGCACTCTGTGTTAGATGAACTGTATAGTCCAGTGTTAGTCATAACGCAGGATAGAAACATCCGTGTGACTGAATGAGCTCCAGAGGACTTCATAAGCTGTCTTGTCCAACCCTCTTCATTCACAGCTGAGGTGGCAGGAAGCCCGAGATGGTAGCTGGCACTCCAGAGGTCTCCCAGAGGGTTTATGAGAGGCCGAGTCTGCAGTGAAACAATGCCACTCTTACACCACTTCCTCCCCTTCACCAGCCTGCCCCGACCTCAGCATAACTGCCAGATGACTTCCTTCCGTGCAGCATTAGTATGCTTGACCTAATGTGGTCCTTGTTTCTATTTGTAGAGCCTTAAATATGTACTTTATGGATGATATATTTGCCATCTAACTCGAAAGGAAAAAAAATCATGGAGGCAGCATCAGAAATAATTACAAATTTAACCCAAATTTTTCACCATGCCCTAAATGTTTTAAAATAAAATCCCAGGGTAGTGGGCCAATTTTAAGAGGTGAGAGGACACAGCTGTTTCTTACTCCCAGCATCAAAAATGTGGATTATTGGATGGGCTCTAAAAAAAAATTCTGAAATGAACCTGATACGTCTTATTTCTAGAGTGGATTAAGTAACTTTTCAGAACCCTTTCTATCATGAAATTCTATGATTCAGGTGAAGAGATACTTACCAAATGCAAAGCACCATATAATAAATGGACAGAATTTTAGATGTAAGAATTATTGTGTGTATCATTTAAACACCTCATTTTATAGATAGCAGATATGAGGTATCAGTTGCTAGTATGGGGAATACCTTTAGTTTTTTCTGCCCT